CCCCCCCCCCCCAATATCTTTCCAGTTTGGATTCTTTAAACGCACCCGTGCACCCCAAATGGATGAAAATGCAGCAGGAGCAGCTGTTCCCAGTGACCAAGCTCCTCCAACTTCAGCTGGTTCCTAAGGGAGAAGGGGATTCTGGGTCTGGGTACAACATGGAAGCCTGGATTCCTGCCTTGTCTGGAACAAAATTAATACAGCCAGTGGCTAAGGGCCGAAAAATGGAGAGGCAGGACCTCTGGATCTTCTAGAAAAGGAATGGGATGGATGGGAAGGGGATTAGGAGATGAGAGGGCTAGAAGCCAAGTAGAATTAACTAATTTAATAATTTTAATACAAGAGAAATTTATATTTAAAACACAAGGGTCTGGTGGTAATTTTTTGCCCACAAAAGTGGTTTGAACGTATCGATACCTCCAGGAAACAGAATGAGACACAGGAGAGTCATCCGGGAACTATCCCGCTTTGGAATGGAAGCCGGGGAATACTTCTGCAGGAATTCAAAAGCATTATGGAACATGGAATTGCAGGAGAGAAGCCCACTTCGCCTTGCTGTACTTGTTTCCTCGCTTTCTTGGGAGCTTGCAAATTCCTGACTCAAAGAGAAGGTTCATACTTTAGATCATTAAATGTCTATGCACTCCCCATCCCTCTGGCATTTAGGTAACTGGATGGCAAAGAGAAGAATTTTGCCTTAGTCATTTCTGAATGGAGGAAGACAGCTGTCTCGCTTTTTTCTTTCTTATGAAATAGCTCTGTGTTCCCCATTTGCAGTCCAAACCGGTGGCTATGCTTGCCTAATATAGTAGGCTTGGATAACACATTAATTTAACCATGGTTTACTAAGTTAATTCAATGTCCTGGGTTTGTACGACTTACTGAATCATAAACTAACCACACAGACTGGGTTTCCATAACCACATTAGGCTAGATCTTGACATGCTAGTTTGTGGTTTGGGGTGTTGTGTGGATGCAGTCAGAATAGCCCACATAGGGGCTGGGTGGGTCTTCACTTTCCAAGGCAAGGGGGTGCTTTGGAGTGCAGGGGGTCATGAACATAGCACCTCCCTGTAACTCTTTAAAGCAGCTGCCTTGTCCTGGGATTGTGCAGTTGCTCTATGAACCCTGGAAAAGACATATATGGTTTGAGGAGTGGCAGATGGTGCTACATTTGTATTTGAACCACCCTTTTGCCTTGGAATCTGGAGTACTGCACAGCCTTCACTGCTACGGCACCTGCCCGTAGGCGGTGTTTGCAGTGTTATTAGTATGAACAGGGGTGGGTGGGATGGAAATATTATAAGTCAACAGAACCCACCAAACCTGCTTGCAGAAGCTCACATGCCTCCTCTGCTTGAGCTATGTCTTGACTGAGTTTTAGTAATACGAGAGACCATTCTGCTGGAATGGGCCCTCTCTTGGTGACTGCAAACGTGGGAGTTTGCTAACTCCCTTGTTCTTGCACCCTGGAGCCCAGGGCCAGAGCTTGGCATGTCGCGGTCTCGCGTCACCAAAGGCAGCTGCTCTGAAAGATACTGCAGCTATGTTAGTCTCTCTGTGACAACACACCATCTCCAACCTGCCCAGCTCAGGCAGACTCTAACCACGAGTGCTGGAGTTGGTCTTGAGAATGCAAAGGAGCCGGGATCACATGTGGCGACCCACTTCTCTGCCCTTGCTGCCCCCGGCATGTAAGCTGGGGGCCCCCAGTTGTTTCCAAGTTTTTCTCCCTCTAGCCTACCCATGACTCCAACATCAGCAGCACTGTTGTATCTAGTAGCACAAAGCAGAGCCCATGTTTTGCCTTGCTCTTTGCGCAAGGACACCTTCTCATGCCTCTAAAGCAGTGTTTCTCAACCTTGGCAACTTTAAGATGTGTGGACTTCAACTCCCAGAATTCCCCAGCCAGCATGGGGAACACTCCAACACTCAATCTGGATTGAAAGCAAGATGGCCCATGCTTAATGGCTTTTTTGCTGATGAATAAGGATGATTCCCGTCTGCCTCCTTTTTTCCCCCCTAAGAGACAGGAATGAGGGGTTGGGAAAGAGGTAAAGGATGAGCAACAAGAGTATTTAGAAACCTCCTGACCTTCTGTACATTTCGGACTGCTGTTTTGAAATGAAGGAAGTTAGGGTGAATTTAACAGGACATTCCCATGAGCTCTAAGGGGTATGATTCAGTCTTCTGTTGACATCTTCGTGGACTCTGCAAGATTTACATCAAACCGCTGCACTGAAGGTTTTCATAGAATTGCGAGGAAACCCACTTCTTCTTCTTCCTGTGTACTAAATTAGGAAATATTTCTTCAAGTACACACTTTGAAGAATTCCTGGGCTTCACAAAACCCCCTCGCTTGGTCCAAAGCTGTCCTTCTGGAAAGGCAAAGTCCCCTCCCACTCTCCCCACGAGCCTTTGCAGGAGAAGAGGACCGACCAGCCTCAATTCCATCAGTAGCCTCCTCCCATCGGCTGAATGGGCAGCCGGGGCCTTGGCAACTGGGCAGTGTGTTTTGTGAAATATGTGACGGTGCATCTTGATTTTTCCATTTTTTTTTTCATGGAGGATAAAGTATGCAGAACAGATTGACGGGGGTTGCTTTACTGAGTTTCTTTGGAGTTACATTTAATAATAACCTAGGTTGATTGACCCATTTTTATTTATTTCATTTTTATCCCTCGTTTCATTCAGAAGCTCAAGGCGCTATACATAATACCCTCCTCCTATTTTTCCAACAACTCCTCCATGAAATGGGGTTGGCTGGGGACAGGGGGGACTAGAAGTGGTTCTCCCTGGTGCAAATCCCACATTTTAACACCACCACCATGTGGGCTGTTTCTGGCATTCCCACAACACACTGACTTCAATCCAGGTAAATGTGTTGTGGGAACAGGTCTATTTGGTCTTTGCCTGGCCTACTTCATAGGGTTGTTGTGCAGCAAAGTAATAAGGGGGCCAAGGATGTTACTCTGAAGTCCTTATGGGCGGGATGGAATAAATGTAATTATTAGGGGATACATTTGCATTGCCCTTGTGTGCCTTCTCAAAAATAGTTGGAAGTTTGTTTAAATCTCAACTTAGCTGCCTTTTGACTTTTGTCTGAACTGATTATGTAGGCAGAATGAATCAGGTAAAATTACCAGGGCACAACCATCTTTAAGATTTAGGCAAGTTATCCTTACACTGTTCATTACAGAGATGTCAAATCACAAGTGCATGGAATATAATCCTGGTGTGGGGTCCTGGTGGTCTTACCCAGTGTTTCTCAACCATGGCTACCCTAAGATGTGTGGACTTCAACTCCCACAATTCTGGTGAATTCTGGGAGTTGAAGTCCATACATCTTAAAGCTGTTGAGGTTGAGGAACACTCCTCTAACCAGATATTTTTAGATGCACACAAACTATTCCTACAGAGCTAAAAGCAAGGAATCAAATTATTGACTGCCACCTTCCATTGTCTTTGTTTTGTCTTAGGAGATGAGACAGCAAAAGCAAGTCAGGATGGTTTCCAACTGGGTTTTATTATTAAAATGTGATGCACATTTGATTTCTTCCTAGCTCTGCTCCCCTCCCCTCATCTCCAAGCAGATTTTAAATCCTATTAAGTTAACTTGCTCCTCTTGGGGTCTTCTCTGGGAATCAACTCTGATCTGGAACCAAAGTTTTTGAATCCTCTGCAGTCCCAAGTGGTCTTTATCCCATAAAGTCAAATATACAGAGATCATAATTTCCATTACAGAATATAACAATGACAGCATCTATGGGGATGAGTTACTTTCATGAGATGCTCACCCCTGATTCTCTCACATCCTTCCTCTTTATTGGAGACAACATGATAATCTATTCATAGGCTGGACTTCCTTTTCCAAGAAGTGTTTCTTCCCTGTTCCCTACCTCTGGTGAAATCCTGAAGCCAAATCTGATCTTAAGCTCTCGTCTGCTTTCCACTCAGGGAAAGGACAAGAGGTTCCCTTGTAATGACAGGTAATCCTCAATTTAAGAACGAGTTCTGTTCCCAAGGTCTGTCCATAAGTTGAATTTGTATGTAACCTGGAACAGTATTATTGTATAATACTGTATAAGCAGTATTGTGCAATTAACTCAAACCACTGTGTATTTAACTCGAATCGTTTTGTATTTAACTCGAATTTTGCTACAATAGGCTCCGTTCTTAATTATGGGTCATCCTTAAACCGGGCATTCTTAACCCGGGGACTCCTTGTAATGGTAAATCTGAGCTTTTTGATATGTGATCAGAAAGGTCAGCACTTCTGAGCACGCGCAGAATGCATTTCCTTCGCCCCTGAGAAATGAAATTATCACACATTTGGGATTGGGATCCAGGATTTCCAAGTTAGTTTTAAGGCAAAGCACTTCTTTTTAAGAAACTGAGTATGGAAACAAAGCAGCCAAGTAGGAATCAGATTTGAGAGCACCAAAAGATAAAGGAAAAAGTATTCCAAACCTTTTCCTAGGCAATACCATATTTCCCTGCTGCTTCGCCCCCCTTCTCTTTATAAGGATAAAGTGCACAGTTTTGTAACTAGCCTAGGAGTCAGCATATCACCCAAAGCAGAATCAAGATCCAAGCTAAGAAGGTGCTTTCGCTTCGGCCAGCACGCCCACTGAGGCACAGGCCCTCCTCCCCTCCGTGCCCATGTCTTGGGGCTGGAGGGGAGAAGGTGGCAGAACCCTGGCAGAACATCAGGTCGTGGGGGGTGGAGCGAGGGTAGGCTGAATCGGCCTCCACGTTGCCGCCTTTAAAGCGCCAGTAGCGAATATCCTTGAAGAAGTATGTGTGGCCTGCAAAGGAAATGGGGGGGAAAAAAGCTGAGAATAACTGTGACATTTCCTTTGTGACACGCACAATTGAATTTGGAAGAATGTATCTGAAGTGGACAACTTAGTTGCCTGTGATTATTAAGCGGCTCAGTTGCTTTGCTGTAGAAACACCCAGGGATTTCACTGTGAACGTTGGGTCATGTTAAACTACCTTGGTTATTTTTGAGACCGTTTTTGCTTCTTTTAACTCTTTTAATAGGTACCTATTTTAGTAGAAAGAGAGGAAGACACTTTTTCGGCTCAGAGAATGATTTAAAGACAAATGGAGTGAATTGAAGGTCCTGGAATGATAAATAATCCTAGGGGAGTTTGAAGGCATACTTCAAAAGTACTCTATATTTCATGTTAGTTCACCTGTTACACAAATGTCTTAACTACAGCAGGTGAACAGAAAGGATATTTGAATATAGAACAATTCCTCATATAACTGGCATTTTTAAGGCAAGCGATGGAAAGAAAGAATAGCTATAGGACCCTGTCTTGAAATGGGAACTGCAGTTCCATTTCTGAGCATCTTTTGCTGTTGAATAAGCTTGTTTTATCCTTAAAACAATTTCCTCAAGAAAACACTACAATTTCCCAGATGCAGAATTTTCTTCACTTGACTTGCTAAAAGGGCCTCAGCTTGGGGGTTGGCCCCCCCCTTGTGATTTTCTAGTTTATCATCCCTCTCTTCTTCTGTTGATAACTAGGTCTTTATTTAAATGTGGCCTGTTTCTTTTCTGTGAATTTATTTTCAGAGGTGAGCTGCGGCATCTTACAGTTATTCTTGGCAATGCTGGGAGGATTGTTGAGTCAGAGACTCACTACTTCGTACCAAATTCTGCACTCTGTAGTGCAGTGCATTGATATGTGGGAAGTGGACAGCAGATTTCTGCAACTGCGTGTCACTAATAATTAGTGGAAAAAACAGAAGTCTGGAACTGGAATGGCTTTAGGACAATGTTTCTCACCCTCAGCAACTTTAAGATGTGTGGACTTCAACTCCCAGAATTCCCCAGCCAGCATGCTGGCTGGGGAATTCTGGGAGTTGAAGTCCACACATCTTAAAGTTGCTGAGGGTGAGAAATGCTGCTTTAGGTAGAACATACCATCATTCCAATGAGTAACGTCATCCAACTCAGAGGGGACTCCTTTCCAGAGGGTGACAGGTTTCGGATATCCTGGTTCCACATGACCCAGCTGATCATCATAACGCCAGTACAAGTCCTTTTCTAAGAGATACGTCTTACCATTGTGAGGCCAAACAAACACAGCACCAATTACAGTGCCAGGAGGGAGTCCCAGATCTGATGTGGGACGGGGATAACCTCGATTGACTCGAGTATCAGTAAAAACCCAGTAGTAGGGCCCTGCAAGGAGGAGGAAGCAAGAAAGAAATGACATGGAAGAGATGCGTATTACATTCCATAAAGGAATTCTAGAGAGAACACATACATTTTACCCACCTCTCCCATCTTTCACATTCAAACAGATGCTCCAAAATATCTATGTTGTCTAATTCATAGGCGTGGCATGGTGAATTAATGTATTATGGCTTCACCTGCTCAACTTCTTGCTCCCTTTCTCCTTCTGAGTTTGCCCAGAAGCTCTGCTGCAGCTTTTATAGCCAGAAAGCTATGCCAAAGCCTGTTCATAAGGAAACTGGATTTTTGTAACATCTCATGATACCCTCAGCATTCATTTTAATGTCTGTACTATGCCGTTCAATTTATATCAAAGAAGCTGCTTCTTCAGGCTTCATATCCAGATGGTGGATGTATGTGCAGCACACACCTAGCTGCTCCCAAGTGCATATGCATGACACGTATGTGGCACACTCTCCTGGAGCCATCACCTCCCCATTGCTGTACGTGAATGATTTATACACTCCTGGACTCTTACTGTTGCAATTGAAGGACCTCAACCTTTAAGATTTTCCTCTAAAACCCCAGATCTTAAGCTGATCTTTTCTATCTTAGCCTCATTTTGCATTAGTATAGACCAGTGTTTCTCAACCTTGGCAACCTGAAGATGTGTGGACTTCAATTCCCAGAATCTTCAATTCTGGGAGTTGAAGTCCACACTTCTTCAAGTTGCCAAGGTTGAGAAACAGTATAGATTCTCCTTCCAAATAAATTAGTTCTACCTCCCATTGCCACCCTGCCGCACTCACCAATGAAGAACACTATTTGGCTGTCGTTTGCACGTTCATACACAGCATCAATTGCCTTAAAATCCGGGGGGAGTCCATTCCAGAAGCGGAGGGTCTGTGCTGGCTCCAGAGAAACCAGATTCTGGGATGGCTGCATTCTCCAAAAATGTCTCGCTGCAAAAGATTATGTAGCCACATTCACTGAAACCAAAGTTG